CGCCAAGATCTTTGGTGACAAGTACTCTAAAGGAAGGTAATCTTCCTATCTACAGGCTTGGATCCAGGATTCTGGATCACAAGCTCAGGGATAGAGATGTTGCACTATCTTCTATGATGCAATACTCTTCAATTCCCCCTTCTCCTTCTTCAGTGGTCAAGACAAGGGAAATCCCCCCCCCCAGTCTAACCCAACTACCACAACCAAATCTACAAAATGCCCATCTCAACCAACTCTTGGTTCTTATTCGAGGACCAAGAAGGCCAAAAAGGGGAGTACCACATCTCTGGTTGTGACCTCTCAAAAGGTCTCAGCTATTGAAAATAGTCTTACCCTCGAGGCAATTTCAATTAGCCATCCTAGCTCTTCAGTGATTCCTGATATCACTGTCGTATCAGTGGCACCTCTCCCAACCGTCTCAGTGACCCAAATCACCGAAGGTGAGAATATCAGTGCCACCACCGTTGACCACTCACTAACAATCTCAGCCATCTTTTTCTCCCCTATGTTGTTGGTCTCAACACGTGTCGGTGAGTCATCAGTGCCAATCCTCCTTGATGATGAGACACTCACCACTGGACCTGAGGTAGCTCCTCTCGAAGCTCCTCAGCATACTGGTGCTCATCATCTCGAGCGCACCATGGAGCAAACTAGCGTTAATCCTTCAAATAACGTTGAATACCCCTTAGGTACTCCACACTCCTACCCTTTTGTTTCTTCTAACCAAGAGCTTCCATATACTCACTCACATTCTTTTTCAGGTCCGTTTGAGGCTCAGGCCATGGACGAAGAAGAGTACGATATGACAACGGACGTGAAGTTGCTCCTCCCAGCCGTGGAGACTGTCTTTATCAATATGGACGAAGTCCACAAAGACATGTCTCGTAGGGACGAAATTGTTGCAGACCTCTCAGCCGTCAGGGCTGAAGTCCAAGACGTGAAAAGCCAACTCTCCTCTCTCCAAGAGGTATTTAAAGCAAATGTTGAGGCCGTCACTACTCCCATGAGCAAGGTCGATGAAGCACACGCCCAATCTCTTCAGCAGACGGAGCTTATGCAATAAGTCCTGGTTGCTCTTCATCAACCAGCTCCAGTGACTGCTCCCTCCTTTACCGCTGATGACTGTGCTCAGCTTAATGAAGCACGTGAAGCGACAAATAGCCTAGCTAGCGCTCTAACAAGGCTAGAAGATATGATGGTTCTCCAGATTCAGAGCGTCGACTAACTCTCTGGCTTATGCTCCCAAGCAATCACAAGAGAGGGGGAAATAAGGTCTGACGTTGGACCATCTACTGCTCCAGCAATCAATGAAAATGAAGTTGAAGCTGAAGCTCCTAGAGCTGAAGCTGACACTGAGGTTGTCTGTGATATCCCAACTTCCCATGAAGCTCTTGTAGCTGAGGAAGTTGATGTCGTTCGAGCTTAAGCTTGTGACAATGACCTTCCCATCACCTTTGCACCTGTTGCTGGTGATGTGGAAGAAGAAGACGATGATGATGATGAGGAAGGTGATTCTCCCGACCTCCCTGACTCCGGCGGCGACCTGGATGACGACGATGATGATGACGACGAAGACGACTTCACTATCCAATACCAGCGTCCTACCACTGCCACCAAAGGAGTTACTCTCAGGAATTCTGCATCCTAGGGGAGCAAAGGGGAGAAGAGGTTGCTCCAGAAATGAACCAGGGCACCAAGTCTAAAGGCAAAAGTGTCGCTGAAGAAGGGAACTTCAAGGTACTATTTCAACCCTATGATGAATCCTTAAGCCAAGTAATCGTCATCTCCTTGTATCAATTGTCTATTCCCTTGACTACCTGTGGTCGGCTGGAGGAATGGGTCCCTAAGAACCCAACCCCCAACACTCCTACCGAGCAGTAGATGACTCGGCTTAGGGAGTCACTCGACCAAACTAGAGTAAAAATCCCTCTCCGTGCCTCTAGTTGTGGTGAGTTCGACTTCCTGACCAAAGCTGAAAGGCTTGAGGCCCTCAGAGCTGAGGAAGAACTTGCTCTCCAAAAGAAGCACACTGAGGACAGCTTAAAGTTGGCCAAGTCTCTAGCTGAAAAATTTCTTCCCAAGAGAAAATCCAAAAAGACGGCGAACGTTGTCTAGGCCCAGGCTAAGCTTCTGTCTATTGCAGAGGCTGAACGTGAAAAGAACTTAAAGCTGGCCGAACGCAACAAGCGATGGAGTGAAACAAGTCTCAACAAGAGGATCAGCCCTCACCTGATCAAGAGCGTCAGCATCAACGAACGAACAAAAGACGATGGGTTGCTGCTCTCCATGCTCATCACCAGGGATAATCTCGAGGCCGTAACCAAGTAACCTTCTTACCTTAGTGAATATGGCTATAGCGAATTCAACGCTCAAATTCCAGACATAAGCCAATTATCGAAGACATCATCAGTGAGATGATCAAGAAGGTGTCCAGGTATGTCACAATCCCTGAAAGGCCTATGCTGAAGAAAGGTGGAAGAAGAAAAAGGCCTTCAAGCCCTAATGATGGACCATCTCTGAGGAATGAACATGAAACAAAGTTGTCCTTAGATGAAGTCCTAAAGGCTTTAAAGAAACCAGATATTTCTATGTTGAATCTTTCGTTGCCAACGAAGGGTCCTTATATACCCAACATTGTGCATGCTAAGCCTGAGTTAGGACTTATATTCCTTGATTATGATGGCAAAGTGATATTTCAAAGAATGTATGAGTTACATCTATGCCCTATGGAACACCTCGGATATCTCAGGTTCTAGCTAGATGATGACTTTAGAGGTGAAATGATGGACCGCAAGATAAGAAGGGAGTTTCTATGTCGAAAGGAGCTTGGAAAGAATGTACCATGTTTCATTAAGCTGAGCAACTTAGACTAGTTTCTTTCCTTTGTAATTTGTCCATTCATTGTAAACTATATCCTATGTCTACTTTCAGTGTTCAATCTTATATTTTGTAAGTTTTAATCACGTACTTAACGACTTGTAAATTTTCCTTTGAAATTAATATAAGTATTTCTTGTGCATCACTGAAAAAGATCCCTGAAAAGAGTAATAGGGACACAAGTCTATGAGTTCCAATGTTATTCTTACATTTACTAACAATCTATAAGTCAGTGAACATGCTTTCAGTTTCAGTTTCCCTTCTTGTAACTTTTTCTTAATCTTGTAACTTAAGAAAATTTACTAAGTAAAGACTGACTCACTGAAAAAGATCACAGAACAGTTAAAAGGGACATGTACTTTATATGTAATTTTTCCTTACTGTTATTTGATAAGACAACTTTCTTTATGTTGTTTTGTTATCATCAAATAGGGGGAGATTGTTGATCATCTCTCTTAGTGATTTGATGATAATTCATTTTACCTTATACGAAGTATTTATGTTTCTGCGATCATCACTGAGTCTGTTCAGTGATCGCTAAGAACATGTAATGTAAATCCATCAGCGACAGCGATACTTCAAGAAGACAAAACTCACACCAAAGAACCTTTAGCAAAAGTCAAAAGATTGAAGCTGAAGATTAGAAACTGGCGAGTTCGTGATCTGAAGCAGCATTCAGTGATTATAACATAGTCTACACATGTGTGAAGACTGCCCAAGCCTCAGCGAATGCTGAAGAGACCTTCAAGTTATTCCAGAATTCAACGATCAAAAGAAGCTTGTTGAGCACGATTGTTTTTGTTTTGTCCTTCCACACACATAAGACAAGCCCATACCCTTTCTAGAGTGTAGTACGATACGGAACCGATTAATTGACTCTACTACCCACCAACTCTATGAAAGGATGTCTGCTCATGAATAGGCTTTTATACTATTCACTGTAGCAAATGACAAGTCTTTCTCTAAAGGCTTGACGCATGTTCAAACCCTACTGCATTGCATTAAATGTGCATTTAATGCAATGAGTATAAATAAATGTGTTCTATCTCCATGTAGAGATATCTTACTCTTGAACCCTAAATCTTACTTTCATACGTGAAAGAACACAATACACTTATCTTCAAAAGCAAGTTAGAATCTCTTTTAAGTATTCTAAATAGTTCTTACCCAGAAAGAACTTACTTTCTTCTAAGTCTTAAATATCATAACATTTCTCTTTGCTAAGAACTTGCGTGTAACTTAGATTGTTTAGATATGTTATCTTATCTTTACCTTATCTTTTCCGCAAGCAATCTTATAAATCTGTATTGATCCTTCTTTATCAATATATATTTTAAATTTGAAAAGTTTATTGTGTTTGTATTCTCCCCNCCCCTCCCTTCAAACTGTTATACACATCTTGTATATCCTAACGGGACCAACATTAACAAACTTGCATATGTTGTGGTAAGTGGTACTTGACATTGTTTTACATAATAGTTGCCTTGACTCTTGAGTAGAACTTCGTAAGGAAGGTGCAAACTTTGTACCAATGGATTTGTGAAAACGTACCTTTAATTGGGATAAACCATGAGGGACATTAAGGATGGCCTTGTATTTGGCACACGGAAGCTGGATCTTACTCGGATGTAGGACATCTAAACTCAATCAGGCCGGGACCGACCGTAAATATCATTTGGCAATCGGCGCAAAAAAAACTTGGCAACAACAGTATCAGCAGAAATAAGAATGAGTAAAAAGGTGAATGCTATTAAAAAGTAAATTACGACTTTGTTTATCTTGCAGCTTCCGAAGATTAACTAAAAGAGCACATAAATAAATCATCATCTGATTAAGATTCACTTAAGGATATCCAAAAACACAACTTTGTTATTAGGCATAAAAACGAGAGCCAAAACGGTCAGATTGTGTTCTTTGTGCTCAACGAGACAAAAAACTTCGTAGGCAATTACCAAAAGCTATTATAGTCGATCAGTGTTAGCATCGATGAGTGCACTCACTCGAGAACACATCTGTCAATTACATCAAATAACAATAAAATCACCAACAACAAAAAATTTGAATATTTTGGGCAAAGAGATAATCATATGTATATAATCTAAAGAGTAGGTCAAGACATGGAATTTAGGTGGTGAATAATAATATAATAATAATAATGTATATTTAAAGTAACAGATTAAGATATTGATGGTGTCCAAAATGCCATATACACAGCCACCCTCCTTTTCAACTTTTAACTTGAAAACAAGAGAGAGAGAGAGAGAGAGATAATGAACCATTAATTTCATCCAAATGCTTTACAACACTTTCCTTTCCTTTCCTTTCTTTCTGCACCTACTACCATTTTTATACACCACCTTCTTCAGCTCCATATTAATTCAATCACTGCCTTTTTGCCAATGTCTTCATCAATCCCTTTATAATCTTCCCGAACCACATCAAGTTCATCGCACCAAGCACCGATGGAACCGTAAATACCAAAAGAAATCCGATTGGATGCATCTGGATCACCTGCATACATAAGCATACATGTTAGAATCACACGCCAACTAAACTTGAACCATTTCACCTCTATATGCATTAGAACCTCTCCTCTCCTCAAAGGGCTCTGTTGGAGAGACAAATAGAAATGTGGACACTTGTTTTAGACAGAGGGAGTAAAAAGGAAAATACAAGTGTTAACAAAAGATACTGTACTTAGTAAGAATGAAGGCGATTATATGTATCAATTACTTGCAGTCTCTTCTCTAAACTCTAAATAAATCAAACCAAATGAACAAAATCCCACACAAAGATAGAGAGGCTGTTTACATGAAGAACTCAGCTTGCAAAACAGAGATTAAAAGAAACAAGAGAGCAATCTACAAGTGAGAGTGTGTGCAACCAAGCAATGTGTACAATAAACGGAAAATGTAACAGGGACAAATATGAGGGAAATAGGTTAAAACAAAAAAGGGAACACAAACACACAGTTTTTCCGAACTCTAAATGTGACATCCGAAGTAAAACAAAAAAGAGCCACTTCATAACTTTACTTCACCTCCTGCTTGAAAGGTTCCAACATTAAGAAAAACTATTATGTTCCTATATCATCCTTCCTCTTTGAAAGATGGATCAAGTGTAAAGTTGTCCAAAAATGATTGTCCTAGAATTCCTTCTAGATTTTGAAGTGGCATCTTTTATGAAACGGAGTGAATATCATTTCTTGACCTAGCACTACGAGTCTTGAAACCAATCAAATTTTAAACTAGTTTATGTCAAAAGTTACAACCATCTTGTAGGCAGTTTCCCTTATTTCATCTCCTACTCAAGCTAGTAGTTGTCACTTGTCAGTACTCCGCTCTGTGGTCCCGTGATTATTTTATCTTATGTTCCTCAAGAACTGAAACCTCATATGTGCAGTTCTATGCCGATAGGCTACTTCGATGTGTGGTACATGTTGCTTGTTTGTACACTACTATGTTACTCCTCTCACATGTTTCCTTTTAACTTCTGTTTTGCAAGCTGGGGTCTTCACAGAAGCAGCATGTGCTACCCCTTGAAGTAGAGGCAAAGTTTGCATATATCCTCCCCTACTTTGTGTGGGATATACCGGGTTCGTTTGGTTTGATTTCATATCCTACTCGGGATACTTGGGAATTTGCAGTTATCTGAAATTAGATGCACCATTTGTGTAGGACAAAGGGAAGCCGGCCTAAGAGCTTCCATAAGATATCTGGTGTGATGATAACATAACCTGATTTGATTAGAAACATCAGACATGACCTTTGAATTTTGCCATGCAACTAACCCAGGACAATCAAACCCAACTAGATCCCTTCTCACTTTCCAAAAGAAGAAAAAAATACCGATTCAAAAAGAATATCGTTTCAGGAAAAAAAGATATCTTCCCTATTGTTCTTATTTGACACCTGGTATACTCATGCCTATATTTGTTAAATCATTTAAATCCAAAGATCTTGCCAAACGTCTAAATTGGCACCGTTGCCATTACACAGTCAAATGATTACAACACAGCAGAATAAAACTTTTGAAACTACTTTTTATAGTTTGATACAATTCACAAGTTTTAACATATTTGAATAAAAGTAAAAGTTACCTGATTATAGTGCAAATACACATGGTAAAACATATAGACAAACAGCAAAATTCTAGCCACCTGCATTCAAATGGAAGCACTTCTAATCAATAAATAACAAAGTTATCATTTCTGATATCCAGATAGTGCAATGAGACATGTTTGACTATTAGAACTGAATCTTGTGGGCCAAAATCAATAATGATGACAACAGGCAAATAAGTAATATTAGTTTGAACTTCTCCAAAAAGCATATTGCATCAAAACGAAAGTCCTATTTTCAGAAACATACTTCCGAAAGCTATATTTCGGGGAACATACTATATTTTTTATGCAATTAACAGAACATACTATAACTTTGTGAACTAAAAAGAGAACGTACTATAACTTTATAAACAAAAAATCTTTCATAAAAAGAATTTATTGAGCTTTCTTGTTTGAGATGTTTTGTCAGAAGCTATCAGAAGTAGGTATCCAGAAATAGGAACAGAACAAAGTACATTTCATTCTGATGCAATTTGCACTTTTCCAAATAAGACATTCCATGTACAATATTTATGCCTCAAGACCGTAAAAGAATTTTATGCAAAAGATTTGCTACATAGGCACATTACAAGACGTGAGAGACCATCAAGCAGCGGAACTAATCATGTTACAATATGCGATTAGCATGAGGACTGACGATCATATTAGTAATCTCACCATCCAGGCAAAGAATATCACAACGCCATTAATCAGATATGCATTTGATTTTTTTAAGCCAGCAGTATCTAGGTACCTATAACATTAACAAGAATGATTAGCCTTCAGGTTATAGACGAACGAATGAAAAGCATCAGTTGACCAGACATACCATCTCAAGTTGATCTCAGGTGTAGTCAACTCAGATATAAGGACCATGAATGTGTAAAGCTGCCCTTCCCCTGTAAACATGGCATATGCTACTGCAATTGCTGAAAGCGTGTGATGAACAACCTAAAATTCGGCAGCATCAATCATGCATTAAAAATGACGATTATGTCAGCAGCAATGGTAACCCGTACATGTCCTAAAAGTAAAACAAAAACAATAAGGAAGTACACCCAAAATTCTAGAGCAGATACGAAGCAGAGTCTTCCTTATTTCTCCACACTGCTAACTGAACACCACATAAATGTGCGTATTGCCACCTCATGAGCAAAAGGCCTATTTTTTTCATTTGGGTTTTGGTGAAAACTCAATTTTCAATCTAATTTCAGTAGTATAACAGATATTTGAGCTAACTGACTTCTACGCTTTCAGTTCTGCCCTAAACTGAGACAAAAGAACTTTTTCTTATGAGCTAAATGAGCCATAGAACCTTTTATTTCCTTCTGATATTTGAACAACATTTATAACATTTTCCACAATTAATTCTGCAGTGCAATTCAACCACCTCTATTTTACATTTTCAGAAATATCTTTCTCCACTAATAAGTACTTGTCACATTGAGCAAGTGTTGTTCAATAGGTGTTCCATATATTTCAAGTGCTATCATCATTATCATATAAAACCCATTTGAATGTAATCTTATATCATACAGAATATTAGTGATTCACAAAAAGACCCCAGATCCTACTGCAAGGGGGATTTCCCGGGTACATTTTGTTTGGTTTACAACTCAATAAAAGAAACCAGTCCTATTGTACATTTCAAGCACAGACTTACTTATACTAGGGCAGAAGTATATCTTATTTAAAGTTACATTCAAATGAGTTATATAGGTTTCAATCACAACAATAGTATAACTGAAGTAATGGATTCATGTTCCTAGCTTGTATTTTCTGTCCAGCGCACCATGTATCAGCAAGTGTTTAAGTGAGAGTGAGTATCAAGTGTTGGGCACTCGAACTTCAGCTTTTAAATAATAAATATAACTAATGTATGGATGCATACAGAGGAAAACTATAACAGTTACGTTTATTGAAAAATCGTCAAGAAATATGATGCATCTTAGCTGCAAACGAAGAAGGAAACAGGATAACCATGCTATACATAGTTCTATCCTTGATGACAAACTTACATATTCTAATCCACCTAATGCAGGATATAGCCAAAAGATCATCCCAAGGTCTGATAGGAAGTAGCCAACAGAAACCTGTACAAAAAAATCATACTGAAAGCATTATGAGGGACCCCATATGCGTAAAACACGTTACTCGATAATAAGAAACGATGGATAAGTAGTTGCATCAACAATAAGCACTCAAACTGGCAAATAAATCATGCCCTTGCATTTTACCTCTTAAAACTTGTTTAAAGAGAAGACAGTGGGCTCTCATCTGCGAGTAATAAGCTATGATAATTAAACCAAACTAAACACGCCCAATATATCCCACTTGAAAGTAGGGTCTGGGGGTAATAAACTATGATAATTGATTACATCAATGACAATTTAAGTTGCATGTTTAGCAAAGTGTGATGAAAGAAATTACCAGGGGCTAAGGTATAGAAAGGGATTCCTCTTTTCTGCCAATGGTCACAAATTGGATCATAGATCTATCCTCACTTGGTTTATATAAATCAGAATCTCAGCTCCAAATTACAATACTTGATCATATGCATGTGCTTGGTTCCCCTACCGAAGGACTCAATTGTTACCAATAGGATAAAGCAGTTAAAAATCTTGTAATCCTAGAAAATCTCAAAACAAAAGATAGCAACTCTTTATCAAATTGGATAAGTTTGTGAAATAGATATTAACTTAGGACCATCTAGGTTAATCCATCCATACAATAACCCCCCCCCCCCCTTTTCAAAAAAGTAAATCTTTGTACTGTATGAATGCCTCTCCCTTGCAAATAATGCTACGAAGAATCACTTTGCTGAATGAATATCAAACGACTGATTACTGATCATTGATATATTTGGCCTCAAACATAGGCTTTGTTCCCCTATGCTTATCTTTGTGTAGGATTCCACCTTTATGCTTATACTCTCAGGATGATACATGAATGTTTCCATTTGCCACAGCTCATAGCATCTCCAAACTCAAAGGGGTCATGGTCAGCACTTAATATCTTAACTAGTTTACGTTGCTTCTTGGCCTCTAGAATTCTGGAATCTCATTATTAAACATCTAATTGCTGCCAATGTGATAAAAGAGCTTTATCAAGTTCTCCCACAATCTCTTCATAATCCTTAGTGAGAAACTTATCAAGGTAATCTGACAATCTTCCCTTAACTAGACTTCTTTCGTCTTTAAACCATATAAAGAGATCAAGGTCCCTAGTTTTCGTTTCCTTTGTCTAAGCCAACTTGAACACACCCTTTTCCCTTTCCGCAGCTCCCTACTTTTTGGTAGAGTCCATACATGCTTTCTGTCTAGGCTCTCTCACCATCTTATCAGCTACTTTTTGGCTTATATATACAATCAACATTCACCACAACAGACGTGTACTCATATGTTGAACGCCACCTATGTAATCTTATTTTATTGTCAAAACCAGTACGAAGGAGGAGGTTCAGACAAGCATTGCAAGAAGATAATGGAGCTATACCTGTGAAAAGCTAAAATTTAACAGACATCTAAGTAATTGTTCATTCATATAATTTTGTAAGTCAAGAACAGCCTATAAACTTGACGAAAGCATACACTCACATGTATGCTCAAGCACACACTATCTTTGCTGTCACTTCTACGTCTGCAGAAACAACAGGGAAGTTGTTACTGTGTAAAGATGGTGTACTAGCTATTCCATATTTTTATTATTAGATGCACAGTCTCTGTTTCCAGTTAAGGGACCCATTCATTAGGAGAAATAACTCTGAACCATAGAGTTCTATAGAGATGTTATAAATGATCAGCTCATATAATAAATACACTGAAGAAAATCATGAAAGCTGATGGCATAGAACTGAAAGCTTATTTTAGCCAATTCAAAATAGACATTCTTGTTCAGCATCTTGCGCCTAAACACTTCAATAAATAATCTGCTACAGGAAGAAAGTTGCAGAATTAGTTTCAAGAGATGATTAGCACTTACTCCTAACGCAAATGTTGAGAGTGGTGAGCTCCGAAAAGTAACAGGACCATCAGTGTACTGATCAGAATAAAGATCTGACCAGAACACAAAGTACAAAGACATTGTTGCAATGAAAATGGCATGAATAGAGGACATCCCCCTGAACAAAAATCAGACAGAATGGGATGTAAGAAGATTAAAGTAAAGATGATAACGAAGGACAAAAGAAGTTAACAGAACTAAAGATAAAATCAAAAGAAGAGAAAATGAAACGACAAGAAAACATATAACAGAAGTAAGATAATGAATTTCCATTTACCGGTTGTTCCACTCAATCCGCTGAATTTTTGTAAGACCAGCATAGGTTCTGAAGTAAAAAGTGCTTATCAACTGTGTAAGATCATAAACCTGTAAAAAATCTTCTGACAGATTAGACAAGAACCCATGACTTGAAAAAACATGAAATTATTTTGCCAATATGAGAAGATTATTTTCATAACTCAGATGCATTACAAAAAAAAGGTGTTCCATCCCCACTGATGCAAGGACGCTGGCTTTATCGTCTCCTTTTCCATGTTAAGTGAAATGAAGAAATATAGTAAAGGTAAGACATACCATTTTTGTAGCAAATATGCCACCAAGGACGGATGTGTACGGCATAAAAGCATCTGCCAAAAGGTAGGTTTTAACCAGCACCTGAGCCTGGTTCTGGTAGGACTTGAACGCTAGAGCTGTCTTCTTAGAAACTACCATCCTGACTGTTTAGATGCCACAGGTTCACTTAGTTACAGTAACAATATAGATCTTGTTTCCATCACGTCTACACCTACTCCTGGACATATTCCCATATCATACATTCAGACAGCCATTTTTATGTTGATATGAAATGAAAATAGTAATAGTTGTACTTCAATTTCTAATGCAATCAATAAATATTCTCCCATGTGTAACCGAGAGGTGTACAATGCGGGATATGCGTCCACCTTATGGTCGATGCTAGCAAATGAAGAACAAATACAAGCTTAACCTTTGAAACATTCCACACAAAGGAATACTCATGAAAAGTAAGTGAAGAAGATAGCACGGATATTGCTAATATACTGCTTTACAAATACACCATACAGCTGAATCTTCCCATATATATAGCAGGATGGAATTTATTTAATAGGGCACTTAATTTCCTACCTTATGAATATAAAATAAAAAGTCCGAAAGGATAAAACCTGTGATGACACAATTCAATGAAGAAACCTTGAGACCACGGTAGGACCGTAGGACGACTTAATCCAAATCAATAGCTTATCTATCCAACTCCTCACAAGTGTCACCAACAACAAAGCACGCAGTATAATTGTTGGGTCCTCCATTTACCAGATTTAGATCTTAGAATAGCTAATGACCTAAAATTGGCAAGATTAGCTCGAAGAAAAACAAAATTTAATTTATGATCAACAAGATGAAGAAAAGTGAGACCACAGCCAAAGGTTAAAAGCAAAAATCCATGTCAATAGCTCAACTAGGGATGCTCTGACTATCAACTAAACACAAGGGCCACATAAAAAATGATGTCGAGGGACTAATATCATTGATCCGCCACCAACAAGGTTTAACTTTTAGACGACTATGACAACATGGTACACTCCACTCAAGTTTCAGAAGGTCTCAGGTTTACATCTTCTCGCTTGTGCTTTGGTTCACTACATAAATAGATAAAAGTAAATGCAATCTTGCACCTCTTCAAGTTAAGGTGAGAGTTGGATGTGCGGGGGGATATTGAAGATAGATATGTTAGTGGAGTTCTATACCAAATAAACCTGTCTGTACCTGCAGAAGTACTCAAAGATACAGAAACTGTGTTATCAATTTGAGTGCCCAAAATAACCTAGGTCAGTCTTGTGCCCAATCTGTTGTACCCACTGGTTGATGTGAGTTACCCACAGGTGCACCCGTGTATTTTTGGTTTCAAGATAAGTATTACATTATTGTTAAGTCCTAATATACCCTCAATGACATTAAAGTAAACAGTAAAAAGTACAAAGTAAAAGCTCACATAAATGTTTTCTGATTGTATGTATAATTTTCTAATTTAATTTTGTTGTTTCTTATGTATTTGGTAATTTTAACTTCTAATGTTTATTTAGACTACTTTTTGGTTTTTGTTGACTAATTTCATGTTTACTAAATACCTAGTCAAACCATAATATTAAATAAGTTTTCTTATCTTCCAACTTCTTAACAAAAAGATTTATTAAGTAGATGATATAATTCAAATCATAATATACCCAAACCTTAAAACTTCTCCCATACAGCTCACACTTTAAACCGTTTTCCCTTTTGCCTCATCGAAGTATTGTTGGTTGCTGAATTGAAGGCTTCTACTTGCTACATATTTGAGTCGTGTAACTCTGTGTGTGTGTGTTTATGTGTGTGTATATATACACACATTCTGATAATATGCGCCTCCCATTCCTTAGACCTGCGTCCCACACTTGCGCCTCGCCCCTAGGCCCCGAGATCCCTTTGAGCCTAAGTGCATCTTGAGCCTTTAACAATAACTTGGCCGTTTTTATTTCAACTTTATTATGCTAATCCATATGTTTTTGTTTGGAATATAGGTCTTGTTTGATAGATAAAAAAATGGTTAATTTTTTTCAGTATTCCCTGTGGGCACCTGCGGGGGTGTAGGCACAGGTATATTTATGTTGTTTTCTTAACATCTATTTAACTTGGCATCCATGTCAGATTGGTATCTGCATAATCATTTGTTCATCATTGCAGTTGATTTAATTGCTTTTAGCTAGAGTAACTGTTAGGCTGATATTCATTTTTGATTGATATTCCCTATAACGTTGCAGCATTGGTGAATAATTGCAGGAACATAACAGCTCTGCATCTGGAATTAACTGTTTAGACTAGTCCAGTTTGGCAGGACGATTAGACAAGTACTCACACAGAACTACTTGTTCTAAGCAATAAATGAGAGACTTTATTTGTTTGATGGAAGATCTACCCAAGTTGCATATTATGATGATTACTCGAACTTGGCAACTCAAGTAAGTCAATATTTACAAAAAGGAAAACTAAATCCAAGGATATAGTAATTTGAGAATAATAAAAGCAGAAATCAATAATGGTAACAACCCATGAATATTTTAAGAATGCTGAGACCATAATCCAAATAGAAACTACTATAGCCCCCTGTACAGGAGTGATGGAGCCAGGGAGGCAGAATTAGCAACCCCCCCGCTGTCCAAAAAAAATCCTAATCATTTTGTAATTTCACCCCCCCCCCCCCAAGGTTATCTAGCTCTGTCATTGCTCTACAGGTCACCTTACAAAAGGGCCTAGGCTAATAGATGATAATTTGCAAGGAAACATTTAGTTCATTCTGGACCAAGAAAAATTAGCTAATTTCATTTGGAGGATGCAGAAAAGACCTTCCCCCCCCCCCAAATTAAAAAAAAAAAACACACACACACACACTTACACAAAACTACTTGGCCGGCTAGTCCTGCAGAAAAATCAGCAGAACATAATAATCCATAAGCATCCGAATGTTCCTTTAGAGCCTCAACCATCAATTGGCCCAGTCAAATTGGAGCTAATTACGACAAGTTTGTACATATATTCAATATGTGAGAGGAATCTTAAGACTTGATAAGATCATAAGGTGATTCTATATTTTACTTAAGTTCTCTTGTTATCCTCCATCAACTCCTTCACAGTTGTGATGGACAAACATCCTGATTTATTAACTATTTTCTTTCAAATGTAGAGGGTGGAGAGGTAAAACTAGAATTCCTTACTGATTTTGTTTATAGGATCCAATTACCACACCTCTGTTTCGGCGTAAATGTGCAATGTCAATGCACCAAAGAAGGAATCTGCATTCCATTCTCCGATCTAGTCCATAAATTCCATTTTTGAATACTCCTGAGACATGAGTCATGAACATTATAACACAACCAGCTACACACGTTCTCCCAAATTATAAACTCAGATCAAAAGGTCAATCCCACATGTTAACAAGAAACAGATATGAAATAAGTGATTATAACCAAATCAACTATAAGAAATCAAGTATACAACGCAAATAGTATTAACAAGACACCATATAGATTAAGCCCAAGATCCGCAGTCCAGAAAGGTGAAAAAAAAGAGAATCCAATCACCATTTAGCCCTTAGCAAGACAATGTGTTCATACATAGTCAACTGGCAGTACAAGAGTTTGAGCAAAAACATATACACTTGGTACAACTCAAAAAGATCAATCGGGGGAAAATATGGATAGGAATTAAAACTAGTTCACAACACAGGCACGTTTCAACATATGAGTACCTTAAATCCGATGTTACTGGTTCGATGAAATTGAGCAAACGGATAAACAGAGTCCAAGAAATGCGATTGAAATGGGAGTAAGAAAGGGTTGGAATAAATTTTCAACCGTGGGAAAGGAAAGGGTTTGTGATGAGTGGCATAAGAGTAAAAATTATGAGGGGTGGAGAGTAATGAAAGAAGTTTAACGGCGATGGAGATGGCGATGGTGATGGTGATGGCGATCGGAGGTAGTATTTGGCGTGGAAGAGAAGAGAAGAGAAGAGAAGAGAAGAGGGGGAAGGAGGAGTTTGGTGAGATCAAGATTCGGGTCATAGATAAAAGAAGCAGCCAGCGGGAGGCATATGTTTCAAGCCTGCATTATTCCTTTGTACCGTACAAATCAACAATGCATATGGTTAGAAAGTTGCATCACAATAACATTTTTTCAAGAATTCTTTTCTTTTTAAGAAATGAAATATTTAAACAACTATTCATAAATTATCATTGCGTCTCAAAAATAAGAGTTAAAGGTGTGAAGCTTAAGAAGTGATCTCATATCTACTCATGAGATTGATTTATGAATTGTTTCTAAGAAGAGAATTGATCTGGTGCATCTCATTAGTATTGATCTTCAATTAGAATTGTTTTAAAAGTAAATATCACTTTTTATCCTTCTCAATTTAACTTCATTTCTCATCAAAACCCAACCTTTATAGGTTAAAGATTAAATATGTTGGCATGACTAGCAGTGTTCACGATTCTGAGTCTTTAACGAGTCTTTCCGGTTCGATTCGATCTCAAATATAATACAAAACTTGTTTTGTTTGACGATTCAAACTTTATAACATCAATGTTTGATTCAACTCGATCAAATTATATGAACCGAGTCATTCGTGCATACACTTTTTCAAAACAAATTTATCATTTTTGTAAATAAGAAAATAAAACTAATACATTTCTATCAAAAAGATGGAAGATAATATTATTTAGGTAAACGGTTGAATATGGGTATTTCCTGAAATGAGAAAAAGGTACTCAGTTTTAAATTGATGTTATTAGTCACCATTTATTGTTGGTTTTGTCAATATCATATTGTTGTTTTTGGAGCATGAATGATTAAGATACATTTATATAAATTATTAAATGATTAAACCTTTTGTTTTTATTAAAACCTTTTTATAACTGAATATGAACAACAAATATATACATATATATATATATGTGGTTGTATCCATTTTAACCATATCAGTTATTGTTTAAAAATTAACTCAAAGACAAACAAAATATAATAATTGAACGACTAAGACATTAAAGTTATTAAGTGAAAAAGAAACAAATTTTGATTAAGTATTACTTATTGGGATGAATGGGATGTGGATCTTGTGCAATTAGACATATGGAAGTGTTTCTTTGTCCCTTATTTAATATGATACCCTCTTAATCAGTCGACCCTTAAATTGTCCATTATTTAATTTGATACCCTCTTAATCAGTCGACCCTTGAATTGTCCGTTATTTAATCTGATATCCTCTTAATCAGTCGACCCTTATGGCCTTGTTTTCACATTTGGTATCTCATTTTTTCCATAATAGGCCTTGTCTTTGTTAATGGGTGCTTTATTCAAAGACATTTGATATCCCTCATATTTTGTGTAACAAGAATAAACGTTGATTTTTTAGAAGTTATAATTTTGTGTAACCGTGTTGGATTGTCACAAAACTTTGTGCAAGTCGTCTCTAACGTAAGTAAAATGAATCGTAAAACCTTAGTTATTCGTCATCACATTTCTTCAAGTTGTTCATCGATCTGATCAGAAACTAGTAAAGATCAATTAGGTTTATTTTGTTATACCCTTTATGTTCTCATCGACATGTAGGAATCATAATATGAATTTTGAGACTCAACCTAGATTTTGAACAATATATTACATGAATCTTATAATGTCACACAGTTTTTATGATTCATTCGATATGCATGATTTAATAAGTTCAGTAGATAGGTTCAATCTGAAACGTCTTGCAAATACACTTGCATTAGAATTTCATTGATTATGTTTGGCCTCTAATTCGTTCTTTTATGACTTGTAACTTAATTGGACCAATGATGAACAATTGTACATCACCTCTTTTTCGATACTAATAAACTCATTTGTTACATAGCAAGAGATGTAGGATGGAGTCTTAGCGGTTGTTTAGTTCGCAGAATTCGAAGGAATTTGATGGAATTGGAATGACAAATTCCTTTGACTAAAATTACAATTCCTTTGTTTGGTTCACTTTTTGAAATGGATGGAATCCTTCAAAATCCATTGAATTCTACAAATCAAATAATTCATCATTCCTTGGCATAATGGAAGGAATTAAGTTTCTTCCTTTTTACATCCAATTTAACGAACACCGACCACCTTGACCCCACCAAGGCCATGTTACTACTGGTCACTATCATGCCCCCACTCCTAACTCCCTACCACCATACTACTATTGTCGTCGTCACAAACGCCACCCACCCCCACCCTAACCCCCAACCAACCACTAGCCACTATGCCAATATTGCTATCATCATATTTATTAATTTCACCTAGTCACCCACCTCCACCACCACCAATACCATTACGTGTCATCGTCACAGCCGCCACACCCCTCCCACACACCCACTTGCCCACCTACCTACCCTAACCTCCGACCACCAAAATCACCATGCCACTAATGGAGATTCTAATTCTTTTAAGAGATTCCATTCCAATTCCTACCAACCAAACATGTGGTCAAATTCCATTTCAATTCCTTCAAAGTCAAATTCCTTTTATGAATTTCAATTCCACCAAATTCCATTATGTGAACCAAACTCCTCCTTAAGTTATTTCTAAGTTTGCTCGACACGTGAACATATAACATACAATATCAAATAGAATTTCTAATGTTATACTGTCATAACTGGGTTTTCTGCAAACCTGGGTTGAGGTAAATCAATGTGTTCATTATGTGATAGCATGCATGTTGTCTTAAAGATAAATGCATGAATTATGTGCACATGTGTAGTAATTTGATATTATGCATGCATGTGGAAATTTTATAGACAGTTATATGATAAAATAATAGGTGGGAATATTATTATAATCCAAACCTTCATGGTTAAGAAAGGTTGATTATAAAACATTATCTTTCCGCCGCCTAATGATTTTATATTAAAAGATATTCATCACCGCCTCACCCTAAGTACAAAAGAAAAAGAATAAGGTAAAAACCTTATCAGTTCACTATTTTGAAAAATATACGAGAGAAATATAAAGGCGGTGAAAGCATTCTTAGAAAGTGTTCTTGAAGAATATTGCTGCTTAAAAATTTTGTGATTTGCTGCGTGATAATCTGCAGAATCTGTTATTTTAAGGTGAGTTTTAAACTACCGTCGATTATAAATTGTGAGTTTTATCTATTGTTTGATTCTATAAATTCTAGGATATTGATGGGTTTAAATTTAAAAGAATCCAGTAGAACTGTTTTAAATAGTTTTTAAAAGAAACTGTTTTATGAATTGAAAAATCTTATACTTGTTTTGAAAAAGGTTGAGTAGGAACTGTGTTTGAAGGAACAGTTTGGATTTGGTACTCTGTTTTTGAGGATTAAGCAAAAACAGACGATTGAGAAATCATATGAAGAACAGATTGTTCTTATGGATTGAAAGGTTTTGAATATAAACCTGTGTTAAGAATATGATTTGGTTAAAACTATAGACGAGGTTCACTCTGATGTATGTGACTTTGTTCCGTCATTGGATGAAATAGTCTATAGATTTTGGATAATGAACGAGGTTCACTCTGACAGAAATGTCTGCAGCCTATCATTGGATGAAATAGTTCATATGAATTTCAGGAGAAATAAGGATGGTCGTTGTGTGTGATGGATAGTTATTGCTATAAACAGGGAATTGATGGAAGTAATAAGGATGGTCGTTGTGTGTGTGTGTGCATGGTAGAACTCTTACTATTATATCTAATATGATTACAACAGATTGGAGTTCTCTCTTCTTGGTGATTTGAGGATTCAGAGATGTTCTTATTGGAAATAGTAGTATTGATGTTGTGGTTATGGGAAAAATATGTGGCTTATGATCATTGGTTTTGACAAAAAGTATTTTGGAACAGAGTGTTCATTTTATGAGGAACCAGAGAGACTCTAGTTAGTTCTCACTATTGGACCAGAGGATTCTGGTTATTGATTTGAGAAATATGCAAGTTTTTACTAAATGCAATAATTGGACTAGAGGCTCTATGTCTATTGATAAGAGCTTCTGTGTCAAAACCATATTTTAAGAAGTTTTCAAGAAAAAGGATTTTATAATTAGCTTTCTATACAAAAGACAGACCAGAGGAGCTCTGGTCGACTCACACGTTGAACCAGAGGCTCTGGTTGGTCATAACTTTTAAACCAGAAGCTCTAGTTAGTTCAACTAGAGGCTCTGGTCGAGCATGAACTCTTTATAACTATTCTTTTTATGAAAAAGGCTATCTTATTGATTGGAAGCTTAAGCTTAAGAATATTATATGAGCTAGAGGCTATGGTTAGTACAACCAGAGGCTCTGGACGAGGGAATAAAAGCTCTGGTAGAAGGACCAGAGGGGCTCTGGCCCTGTTTATTGAAATATATTCTAAGTATGGTTTAGGACCAGAGGCCCGATGAACCAAAGCAGAATATAATTCTCAGTCCTTATGATATAAAATGAATTATTGAAATAAATGTTTTGGTGAGCTTCTCCCTGCATTACATAAAAGGGAACCTCACTAGACATTCATGTCTAACCCTCATTTTTGTGTTTTCAAAAATATGTGTGCAGGTAATGATAATAAGGGAAAAAGCATTATGTGAATTACTTCCCTATGTGTTTAGTTGTGTCAAGATCTTGATTAGCCATGTTTGGAAGCATAGATGCTAGGATACAAGATCATGTACTTTTGGAATTTTTGAGTTGTGTATTTTACATTATWGACTCTTGTATTATGGACCTATGTGGGGAAAACATGTATTCTAGGGATGAATTATGTGTAATATGCAATGTGTGGATTTGGGGGCGTTACATATACAATATCAAATAGAGAATATTTAGTATGAACATAAGAAGAAATTACTCAAGGAACATCAATAATTATTTTTATAACAAATAATAGGATGTTGATCCTTTTTTTTCTTTTTGTTAGATCTTCCAGTTTCGAAACTTAGGCATGGAAAAATAATACTCCTCTCCCACCTCTTCAGCTTGGGAATAGTTCTTTCTACTGGCTATATATATGTACAATGCCAGTTGAAGCTACGACTCAACGTCACACATTCTCCAGG